AGGGGCCCAAAGGCTGGCTGTGAGGGGGGCAATGTTACTCAGAAAGGGTTGTGAAGACTACCGTGAGAAGAAATTCCCCCCCGTCTGGCATTTTGAACAAGGTCCTGCGTGGAAACACTGTGTAAGGAATGACAAGGGCAACAGAAACAGGAAAAAAAGTCTCAGAAAAATAACAGTTAAAAGATTTTTTCCCATCTTTCTTGGAGGTTTCTATTATTAGTAAGAGAAGTTGTGATCTTTATTAGTACGGCGGCAGTTCATGTTTCAGCATAGGGGCAGATTAATGTCCCCGGAAGCGCCTCCGTGAGCAGCCGGGAGCGCTGTGCCCGCGCCGTCTCCCAGAGCAGCGCAGCGCTTGGCCTCAGAGTTGTTGTTTTTCAGTTAGCTCTTCCCTGGAGAAAAACAGAGGTAAATGTGCAGCTGCAGCCTCCCAATAGCCATGGCGAATGCAAAAGCAAATTGGAAAAGCCGATTAATCCTTTACCCTCCTTGTCTTCCTCCCCATCAGTACAAGCAGTTGCAGTTTAAACTCCCCCAGGCCAGAAGACTTTGCACCTTTTCTTCTTTTTTTAAGGTCATGGAGTAGTTGTTTTAGGCCGCTGTTCTAAGCGCAAACATTTTGGCTGTCCCATTTTTGAGGGAGGAAAATGAACTCCTTTAGTCCAGGTTCAGAATTTTAAAACATGAGATCTGCAACTGAACCCCAACCTCAAGTCTTCTGCATTTTGCATGAAAACATGAAGCATCCCAAGTGACACAGAAACGGGAACCATGGTGTGTGCACAGCATCTCATTTACACCCTACACAAATGAAGGGCCAAGCTGGAAAACTGACATATCTCCCCAGCTTCCCCAGGCCCCCAAAGCTACTCAGCGCTGCAAACTTGTTTCCTCTTCCAACCATCTCACCTCCATCTTCACAGGTGTCTACCCACCATTTTCTTGCTGTCTTCTCAGTTCTGCGCAGCTCAGGTGATGATAAAAGGACAAGCTAAACTGCTGGAGAGGCACCACTTGGCTCCATGCTGCATTTCCTGCCACAGACTGCCTGGCATCCAACAGCTCACAGAGAATTTGCTTGAACACGGCTTGCAGTTTTTGGTATCAAGTACTGCGCAAGTGTGTGATCCAGCTCTTAATTCCACACATACTTGTGCCTACTTTGAAGTCCATAATTGTTTGGAAAAGAATTAATTAATTCACTTCATTTGCTTTCCAGCTTTGTTTCCAGTTTTGTTTTATGTCATTTCACCATACCACAATATTAACTTAGAGATAATGGGAAGAGGAAAAAATTGAAAAAGAAAAAAAGGAGAAAAAAAAAAGAGAGGAGAGGAAAAGGAAAGAAAGGCCAATAACCTTAGGCGAATGTCCAAATTCTTTAAATATGAGGTGTTTAAACCAGTGTTCCCCTGTACTGGATAATAACTTCAATTTGCAGTTATTCCCTTGGGGGAGGTAACATGTTAATGGTGTGCCCTGCGGCTCAGACCAGCTCCACATGCTCATAGGGATTAATGGGCGGTCGCGTGTTGAGGTAAAACACCAGCTTTGTAGTGCAAAAGGGGAGCTCAGTAATTCATGGAGAATTAAAGAGGAAATTGATGCCAATATCTCCCAACCTTGTGATTTTAAGTGAAAGCAAGATCTTGAGTCTCTCCCCATGTAATACTTACCCCAGTCCATGTCCAATGATCAAAAATCATTCTGAAGCAAATCCAAGGTGAGGGGTAAATTTGATATGATGAGCTGCAGACAAGTGGAGAGACGAACAAGAGGCATAAAGCCTTGTGCCCATCCGCACGCCCTGCAAATAGTTAACTTTATACATCTGTCTGAAGGGCAGGGGGGGCAGACCCAGGATGTCTGGCTTCCATTTTACAGGGCCGTTGAGATGTTGCCCACTGCAATGCTTATATCAGACCTACTGCAAAGCTGATTGTTGATTAAAATTGAATCACGGGCTTCTGGTCCATCACTGAAGGAAATCCAGCAGTCTGTCCTGATTACGTTAATGAAAAAACACTCATTCGGCTTCACTTGCCTGGCTATAACAACCGAAGGAAACAAGACGATGCCTCCTGTCTCACTTCTCAGAGCTGCCTGGGTAGAGCTGTCTGTGACTCCAGAAGACAACACCAACATCTATGCAGGGCAGGAGAGTCTGAAGAGCCCTCCTTTACTCAGCAGAGCAACCCTCGAGTCGCAGCTAGGGTCCACACTGCAGCCTGGCAGCCAGAGTTCCCGTCCTAGTTTCTGGCCAAAAGTTTACCAAATCTTCTTATTCCTGCAAGTGGTTACCCTGTCTTTACCTTCAAAATAATGGATTTTTATGTCCTAAAAAATAATAGGCACCTAGACTTCTTACTAACTTATGCAGCACCCACTATTTAATTTTCATACAATGTTAATCAAATAAGTGTCAGCAGGTTCTTACCCCGCTGCACAGGAAGATTTAATGGCAATAGGAAAAGCTTCTGTGTAAGATAAGTACAAAAAACTGTTTAAGATTCTAACAATTAGTCCTGTTGAGTTTGAAGCCCAAATGGTAAATCCTTTCAAATGAAATATGAGAGGCTGACATAATAATTCATGTATTTGGACTAAGAAGCAGGAGTCTGTGCCTTTTTTCTTTTCCTGGACTGTCACAGCAATTTTTCCTCCCTTAAGTCAAAATACCAAGGATATCATTTGCAAAGTTGATTTCGTAAGTATAAGACTCTGAACATTTTGGAAGCCTAAGTTCTGCAAACAACCATGAAATAAGAAGAGAAACATTGCATCATTTCATACATTCTCTGAAAAAAAAAAACCCTTCTTTGCTGAAATCCAGTAGAGGTTCCCCTTTGAAGCAAGGGCACGAAAGAGTATGTGTATTTTCTTAGCTGGTTTTGAGCTTCTCATCGTGTTCAAAAGGCAAATGGCAAATCCGGTATGACCTCAGTTCTGCTGACAAACAAACAAAAATTAGCTCAAAAGGTTTAAATGTAATGAAAAACTCTAAATAAAAGTGACACTGAGCACACCTTTGAAACACAAGAAATGTAGTGCACTGAGAAAGTCAACCTGATTGCTTCAAAATGTCTCAAATTATCTACAGGCACAAATTCCCCCACCAAGGAGTTAAACAAATGTTTTTGTCTCCTCTTAAATTCATTCCCATTTCAGGATTTAAGGGGTTTCCTCACATTTTCTCCAACCATTAAAATAATCAAGCCACTAAAACGCTTTCGTCCTTGCTTCCTTGACTGTTGTAATCCCCTTTGAATCAGAATTCTGAAACTAATTTTAATTCAATGCAAGATACTTACCCAATTTTTTCGTGCTGTCAGTCTTCTTACATTAAGCGAACCCATTTAATTTTGATGGTGAAATATAGCCAGATGGCAACATGAGAGAATTTTAAGTCCACTTGATTTACAGTGATTCGAATTAGTCTTTCTTCTCATGTTGTCACCAAGCTGCTGCTTGTCACAGCATTAGCTCTTAACTATCCCAGTTGTGTTGCAACCATTCCGGTAGTGCCGAAGTAACCAACACCAAGTG